CATCCTAAGCACCTTTCTCTATAATTATTCACTAGTCAACTATCAATCCACCATTATAATAGGGATACGCAGATGATATTGTCCTCATAGCAGAATCAGCAGCAAAATTACAGCAAGCGAATGTGGAATGGGAAGCTGAGCTTGAAGAAAAAGTAAAATTATTCAGATAGGTCGGGAAATCGAAGACGTAGAAATAAACTGTAGATGTAAGACTCTGGAGTTGGTAGAGTCTTACCCATTATATCTTGGGAGAGATTATATCTTGGTTATTGGAAGAATTTGAAAAATAGATCAAGAGATATCAAAATAGAAAATGGTATCTATTACCGGATCGGCTACACGGGCTTAGGAAAACGAGAGGTAGAAAATATATCAAAGATCCATATATACAACACACTCTACCTTCCAACCCAACTGAATGGTACTGAGAGCAGGGTCCTACTGAATAGGCACAAAAGTAGATTTACCACTACCGATATGAAATATCTGAGAAGAGTAGCTGGCCGAACTAGAAGAGATCGCATCCGAAAGTGATGGATTGGAGAAGATGTTAAGGTGCCACCAATGGTTTGGCCATGTTATGAGGATGAACGAGGACAGGGAACCCAGAAATTTTTTTGAGGTAAGACCACAGAAAAAAGGCCAGGAGGATGACCACGGAAAACTTGGATTGATGAAATAACCAAGCTGGAACAGAAATTGGGTTATATAAGGAACCTGGCAAGGGACCGTGAAGACTGGCGTAAATGTATCGAGGCCCTTCCACACTGAAAGGTACTAAGGAGGAAGACAAAGAAAAAGAAGAAGTATTCCTTGTAATAATACTTTTTCTTCCTAGTGTAATTATTTTATAATTTGCTTACATACACAATATTTTACATCATCAGAAATTTTCTATTGAAAAAATGAGTATAGATTTTTTTTATAGTAAACATCCTTAAAGAATAAACCTTTTTTTTTCTTATGTGTATTAGTATAGCACTTCTACGGATTTCATTTGCATTGGTTCCGTTTCATTGAAGCTTGTTTGTTTTTGTTCTCGGGACGAATTGTTATATTAGATTCCTAACAAGTATTAATTTTTATGAGTCGTTTTATGTTTATTCCTCCCTAAACATATCAGAGAAGAAAGTTTATACAATATACCTACTCACTTTCTCACGGATACAGTAGGAAGGTAATACGTCTCTTATCCGTCCGACCTCCGGCGAAGTACCCTTAATTGGTAAGGTCCCGATTGCATAGGTCAAGGGGGGTTTGTTTCACAAAGAATGAATTAATAATGACGCTTAGTGATGCTGCACTAATGGATTTTTCACGTTATAATTATTATTTTTTTATATGCAATATTTAATTTTTACCTTTCTTATCATCGAATCCTAATAATTAAGACAAATTACAAACTATTATATCAAACTGGGTAAAAATAAAGCGATAAAATACTATTACAAAGATAATAAAAAAAGTCAAATAATGTTAATTGAAATCAGTCGAGAACAGTTGTAGATTGAATGTTTAAGTTTCAAAGTTAAAGATTTTTCTATCTATTTTTTATATGTACTGAATTAGCCGAATTTGAATACTCTTGAGCCCAATTTAATAATTTTAAAGAAGTTCTGTCGTTATCGTCGTCTCTGAGCATCTATACTTTTCTCTGAAAGTACTCTAACTGAAAGTTTCTCTAAAGGACCAATGCCTGAATTCTGGATCTTTTATGGATGAAGTTATGAGATGTAACTTTCTAATAATTCAGATTCATTGTGTTCAGCTTCGATTGGCGTGTATCCTAGTCATGGCCGAATATAAACTTAACGAAACTATAAACTTAACCGAATATAAAATTAACGAATAAAAAACACTTATTTTGGTGATCAAACGTACAGCAGTACTAGATAAATACTAAATAACGATCATCGTGACCCTCAGAAAGGAGCTCAAATCATTCCGCGGTGATAAAAAAATACAAAACATTAATGTATGGCCCAATCGGAGGGGCCCCAGATATTTGAGGAAATAAACAAATACAAAACAATTACTTTGGAGGTCACACGCACAACAGCACTAGATAAAAACAAAACAATGAGCTTTAGGACCCTAGAAAGGGAAACCAATGATTCTACGGCGATAAAAAAATACAAAAAACTATGTTGGAGGCCCTTCGGAGGGACTCCAAAAATTTGCTGAAATAAACGAATAAAAACACTTATTTTGGTGACCAAGCGTACAACAGTACTAGATAAATAAAAAACAATAACCTTCGGAGCCCTCAGTGGAGTCCCCACTCATTCTACGGCGATAAAAAAGCACAAAATTTATATGTCAAGGGATCATCGGAGGGAACCCAAAAATATTAGGCAATAAACAAATACAAAACAATCATTTGGGGGGTAAGCATATCACGGTAAGTATAAGTACAAAACAATGATTATCAGGACCCTCAATCATACTTCAGAGCTCTCTTATAAAACAGTTAAATTGGGGCCCCATCGGAGGGGCCACAACAATTTTAGGAAATAAACGAATGCAAAACAATTATTTTTTTTATAACTAATTATTTTCAAAACAATTATAAGATAAAATAGAAAAATGATTTCGGAACCTCCTGGGTAGGAGCGGGGAGAGGCTCGGCGAACGCCCACTAGCCGACCTGCCCAGAACTGGCCTGGGTTTAGGCAATGTTTACACTTATTGTTTATATCTGATTAATGAAAAATACATTTAAGGTGATTAAATCGAACAGATTTCGCAATCTGTTTTACTGTAATCTTTTAACACAAACTGTTTTATAAATCTTTTCTCTTTTCATGTGATGAGATAAAAAAATCGTAAAATTTTAATCATAAAAGTATCGAATCAACATGTTTTTGCACCGGCTATATTGAAACAAACAAACAAACAAATAATTTCATAGCAATATTAACTTGTCAATTAATCAAAACTTGTTATGCTAAATTTAATTATTCTTAAATCAGGTTATATTTTAATTCTTAATAAGCTTTCTATATTTATTTTTTTTTTTTTTACCATTATTTATGATCATATTTTGACTAATCATAATTTTCCTATATCTTTGAATTCTTTTTTTATTTTCCAATGACGATAGGCTTAATTTTATTGTATGTAAAAGTGATATGTTGCAGCGGATTCGGATTTATTCAGAAAATTGTATTCTGTATTTGTCATTCTGTACTTTATGGTTTATTCCGCTTGGCGCTCGTTTTCCAACGTCCAGCGCCTACACAAAATCCAACCGAACCTTGAAATTCCGTTTCAGCTGAGTATTCGGCCTATCAACAGATATTCCTGCATAGTGTGACTGTTAATAAATTAATATTAACTTTTCTATGAATATTTTTAAGATATCAACTTCTTCTTAGGGATGGAATATTAATTAAGCCCAATATAGATATTGTCATCGATAGAAATATTGACCTATTACAATCGATATCATAAAAATATTAGATTTGAAATATCGATACTAGCGAGTCGATATTTACATCGACATAAACATTTTTGAAAACTAGTAATTTTTAAATATGGGTATTAATTATATATATTGATTTTCTAGCACGTCGGCGCATAAAACATATGTTATTTTTCTCTTTAAATTAATTAATGGAAATATCAGTTTTTCTATTCCCCTTAGTAAAATAAATTTTCTGATCACTGTCCGTCTTCATCCAACCAATTATGCCTTCCATTCACCCGTAGATCGGATTCAGCCGAAAGCTAATTTATTAGCACCCTACATAGATTTCTTTGACAATTCATGCCCGTGGTTTGAGAACGTTTTAACTAACAACTTCGGGTAAATTGAGTTAATAATCAGAAATCATTCACAACAAAGTTATGATAATGATGATTGATAAAAATAGTCACGAGTTCGCGTCCCGGTGGCGGAGGAGTCTTTCAACTCCACCATTAACCATCGCCCTCACCCCTTGGCCCGGGAAAACCCCGTATAACATTAAAGACGAAGAAGGGGACGATTCAAAAAAAAGAAAGGTTATACGTATATAACCTACGCCTGCTATTCAACTTTCCTACTAGCTACACTCTATATGAGAACAGGCAAGGTACGTATAATTCTTTTCCTAACCGTTTCATTCATATATAATCCCTAGAGCTTTCCGAAAATGATATTTTTAATTTTAATTTTAAAATTTAGAGTGTGAATGTGATCTGTGAACACTATTATAAATGTCCTTGAGACAGATTGTAATATTTTTCAAATAAAAAAAAAAAAAAATTTAAAATTACATCATAGGAATGATATCGATAGTCGATCATATTGAAGTCGATGCCAACTATGATAAAATATCAAATGTCGGAAGAAAAATATCTATATTTCGATATCATCGACTATCGATAGCCATTCCTGTTTCTCCAATAGTTTACATAAACTGGTTTGATTATGATACTAAAATACTTTTATACAACTTATTTATTAGCGTTTTGGTCTTGTAAAAATCTCAAAATTTAAGACATCATCTAGATTTAAATAATTAAACAATAATAACCTGAAAGTAGCGACGAAGGAATAAGGGAATTTCATCCCTCTTATCTACAAATAATTTGAAAAACAAAAAAATAGGGAAATTTGAGAATCTACTTCGAGCTACTAACATTTTCGTTAACGATTTTCCCCAAATAGTTACTAAAATTTAAAAGAAAAATCTACATATGTACCTTTCATGTTAAGAAACTGGGATCCTATGAACACAATGTTGTGTTAAACTAGAAAGAAACAAAAGATTAACCTCAGGTTAACGAAACAGGTAAGTTAAGTTTAAATATTTAACAGTTAGAAATATTTTGATACCAAATACTTTAATACATTGTAATTTTTTTAATTAATGTTCCGGAAAAAGCTCCAATTTCCAACGATTGAAGTTGCTGGTAAATTTTGTTCCCAACAAATAAATTGCTGCAATTGTTCCCAACAAATAAATTATCAAGAGAGTAACCTTGATATCATCTGTAAAAAAATAAAACAAAAAGTAAACTTGTGAGGCTTAAATAAATTTAATTTAATTGTTAAAATAAATCTACCAATTTATGTATATTCTGCAAAACCAAAGCCATTTGTAAGGTTAAGATTGTCAATAAAATATCTTTCGTCCTTCGATATATTTTTATTAATCGATAATTTGAAATTATCAATTGTAAATAAACTTCCGTGTATTCGGTGAATTCGATTGAATATTGAGCAATTATTAATAATTATCGATCGTATATTGTTCATGAATTACATTCGCTATTTTTGTTATTGAAAAGACGTGTCATCGTGAAAAACAGTTAACAATTCAGGGAATTCATATTCAAACTATAGTCGGGTCATACGCAGTTGTCGGGGCGACCAATCAGTTCAAACTTCTGGGCGGGAACATTTGCAATCGACCAATCAGAATCGAGGGCGGGAGAGAGGGCTTAGCTAGCATATAAACGCGGGAACACAACTGTTCACGCTTAGAAGAGCTCCAGTTGCTGTCGGTTGTGTTTAGAAACATCTGCTCTCACAAACAAGTAAGTTGGGTTCTGTATCACTGTTATTGTGTTATAAGTTTCTCAGTGACATTACTCTTGTATATATAATAATTTAATATAATGCCATTGAATAAGTGTTTATATTATTTGGATATTGTTATTAGTTCAAAAACTTTTTTATCTCTATTTAAAGATGTCATCCGGATCAATTAAGTTTCAATTCATTATGACATTGAAATAATTTGTTTTTATTATATTTTTTAATTTAACATTTCTTAGTTAGTTATTTATTGATAACTTATACTTTGTTAACAATTGAATCTTGTTTACATACCATTGACAGAAACAGTTTGTAAGTTGTAGATCAAAGGTTGTGTTCATAAGCCCTGTTATATCTACTGCTTTCCCAATTTTTCTCCATTCTTATTGTAATGACCGATTACATTATTTTGTGAATTTTATTTATCTTTTAGCATAAGATATACAATCAGTTTGTTGTCCTTTGGTCTATGAGCTAGACCTGAGTCATTGAACAGCATGCTGTATTGATTTTTTTTCTTTTTCCCATTGATCTTAATCCAATAGGGGCTGCTGTCCTCTCATTTTGAATTGTTGAATTGGCAGCTCTCTCAGCATTGTTAGGCTTCACAAAGGAGGCATATTAATAATTCTGAAATATTGACACTTTAAAATTAATGTTTGTCAGGTCGATAAAAATCATTAGTTTTGTCAATTTTTGTATTAGTTGATTTGAATTCTATCCTTTTAAATTTTATTGCACTTATTATAAGATTAAATTTATCTAAAAATCTAATTTTTCAGATAACCATGTCAGATATTGGAGTTGTCGAAGACCGTGAGTATTTGATTTATTTTAAATTATCCTAACTTTTTTATATTCCATTACATCATCAACTGGCCATTTTATGTTTATGTACTATGATGTATTTAAGTTTTTATAATACTAAATAAATTTTATACATGTGTCATTTTCTTTAATTTGTATATTTTTATATTTGCCTATTTCTGTTTTATTATATAGTATGATGGTTTAATAAAATGTTTTAGTTTAATAAAGAGCTATTTTTTGTTACTTTGCAACTTTCATTTGATCTAAATTACTCATTTGTGCATGAATACAGTCTAGTTGCATTGTGCAGTGAATGGGTTGTTGCAATGTAGGGGCCTATGGGTGCATCAACCTCCTGACCTCAACCTTCTTTCCAATCTTTCTGAAATGCAATCTTTGATGGACCAGAACCTTTAAGCTTGTTTCACTATAAACAACCATATAACCTGATTTTCCCATACTTTTCTCTAGCAGAAAAAAGTCTAATCTTCACTCTTTATTTTTATTTAGTAATTTTTAAATTATAATTATTAGTATCTTCAATAGATATCCATAACTAGTTGCATATGTTGTGAGTGATACGTTAGTATTTGGATAAAAATTGTAATCAACTTCTGAATTTTGTTTTTTTAAATTGTTTGAGTTAAGGTCAGTTTGTCTGATGTAGTATTTGATCCTCTCTTTTATATTTCACCTAAGGCTTTGTAATTATGCACTGGCAGCTTCCTCGCTTTGTTCTTGACTTAGTCATTTCCTACTGTTCCTCTTTGAATTCCAAATCCACATATGCAAGCAATGATTGTTTGATATTTCATTGATAGTAATCAACTTGACACAAACTTCGTAAATGTTTGTATCCATTGCAATTTTATACTTGATATATTTCTTAGTTTTTATTGTTATGCTTGATTCCTTGTTCATAAAAAGTAAAATTGATGGATGGAATCTAGGATGGATATTTGAGGTGGTGGTTGGTGGTATATAATTGAATAAAAATCTCTTCCTGCGTTTTCTGTTTAGGAAGTAAATTTTGTTGCCCTGTATTTTAAATACTTTAATATTTTAAAACTAATTTTCCACTTCTTGAGTTAGTTATCTAAAACTGTATGAACAGTAAGTTTGCAGTAAAAATCCCATTTCTTGGATAAAAATCCAGTAAAAACTGATGATTTAATCAGCTCTAACCATATTTATGATAATATATATAATATCTATTATCGCCAATATTATTATGCTCTTTTAAAGAATAGATTATAAATATTTTTTCTTTGAAATTTAATCTCAGTTATTCCGAGTTGTTTCATTGCCATTTACTTGTTGGTTGATAGTACTAGTTCATAGAGCTGTCCATAGAGTGTGCTGATAGTAAACTATCCTTGGATCTTTTCCTACTCCTGTATTTAATAATTGTTTATTATTATTATTTGCTCAATAATAATAATTGTTTGTTATAATCCTGTTGAATAATTGTTTTATAAAGTTTGTATAGTTGTTCTGTTCTTTTAATGTAAATATGTACCTTGATATATTATTGCTGGATTTTTATTTTTCCATAGTAAATACTGTTGCTGTATGTGGTTTCATATTCCTATTTATTTACTGCTTGTATACAAACATATTCAGTGTTATAATACTTTCAAAGTTATATATTTATTTAATTAATGGCTATTGGAACTGTGGATTTGTAATTGTGTTCCTAATAACTTTCACTGTGTACTATTAGCCACCATCTCTTCTGGTCCATTGACCTTATTAGATACAATATATAATTTCTTATTCCGCATTCTCTATTCTTTACATTTTCAATGAAGAATATAATTTTTTCAACTTTAATTCTTTATTAACTTATGAATCAATAAAAAAAGTCTTTTCAATGTTTATGATGAAAACACGAAATAATTATGTTAAGCTATTATTTATTATTTTCCTCATTCAAATGTGTATATTTGTATAACTGTATTTATTGCAAATAGTCACTAGTACATTTTTGATGGGGCTGAAGTGTTAAGTGAGTATTTGTGAATTTTCGACCGTGTTTATCGGCAAAAATATTTTACACAGTGAGTGCTTCAAAATGACACAATTGCTTTTAATAAAATACAATTTCACTAAATCCACAATGATCAGGTTTCAGAGAAAAATTATGAAAGTACTTGATGATTTAGTTTTATGAAATATCACTGAATGACTCAATAAACATACAGTATATGTATAGTTCGCTAATTTATTTTATTGGAAGTATGTTATTTTAGAACATCTATTTTGCTATCGGACTTCTTTGTCATTCTATAGTATTAAGTATTATTAAGTCCATATTGTTACTATTCTTTCAATGATATTTTTTGATTTTATAAATTTTAAGTAGACATTAGAAAGTAATTGTTTTTTATGAACTTCTTAGTTAAGTTATGCCATTTAATCTATCAGCATTTTTTTTTTTTTATTTGAGGGAGATGTTGCTATTTATTGTTTAAGAAATCAGCTGTTCTAAGCTTATCATTGAAAAACATTACTTATGTTTTTAGTTTTGATATAGTTGGGTCGAGAGAGGCAAACGAGTTAATGATTATTAATTAAAAATTACACATTAGTATTTATTGAGTTTTCATTGGAAATGAATTTTTTTCTTATATGTTTGCAGACTGGGATTGAAACTTTTTTAAAAAGTTCAATTTTAACAGTTTCGGTGAAACTTCTTAGGAAAAACGTTCATAAAATAAGTTCTGAGGAACTTTTTTGTATTAAAGTTCTAATCTTATGGTAAAAGTTTAAACAATTCTTTCTCACATCTCAAAATGACTCTGTACAATCATAATATAAATTTTATGAATCTAATTTTCATTGAAGTGAATGGTTGTTGAAAATGTTTGAGTTTAAAGAATCAAGACAGTGTTTGTTTTTTATTTTTTCTGATTTGGTTTTCTTTTTATTTAAATTTTTTTTTGTTTTTTTTTAAATGTTTTTATTTTCTATTATTTATATATTGTCACTGAAGATATTGTGTTTATTGTTTAATTTGTATTAATATAGTTTTTGGCCAGGTGTGGTTTAAGTTTTAGTTTCTTGTTCATAATTTTTATTTTTAAGGGATCTTGTTCCAGAATAAAGTTTATTTTCTATATATCTAAATCTTGTGTGCCAAATAACACTTCATTTTGTTTTATTTGTGTTCATGAGGCTGTTTTTTTTTTTTTGTGAATTGATACTCATTGAGCCGAATCAAAATATATATATATATATATTTTTTTTCTTTCGTCGGCCTAAGACTTCCACAGAAGTCCCATACTGTAGAATCAAAATGTTGTGATTTATTTTTAGAAAACTTTCAGTTGTTCTCTGAAATAATGTCCATAATTTCATTAACAAAGAGATTTCAACCAAAACATTTAAAAAATAAATAAAGTTTCCTGTAAGACCAGTCTTCTGTGAGACTAGCCCTGATGAAAGCCTGAACTTTAAGCCAAAACATCGGCAAAAAAAATTATTTATTTATTGTTACTTTTTTTTTTATTAAACACCCCAACCAGTCTTCTCTTTAATTATTCACTACAGTCATTATATATATATATATATATATATATATATATATATATATATATATATATATATATATATATATAATTTGATATAAAGATGTGCAAAACTAATGTTCATAATTATGGAACTCTGTAATTATTCTTAGGTGACCGTAGTCCCAAAATAATATTATTTTTTAATTCTTTCATTCTTGCCAGATATATATAAATTTGTCTGCATTACATACAATCATACCCAGTAAAATATTTTAATTGATACAAATAACAACAGTACAATATTACATGATTTTGTTTGATATTTATTGTTTTGATCACAGAAAGCAAATTTTCATGTATTATTGTTAAGTTTTCAGACGTTTAAAGATATCATAAATTCATATTACCAAAACTATTCAACTATAATTCATGTTATAATTTTAAGAAATTTGAACGTTATACAATGATTTCTTTTGTAAATGCCATTAAAAAAGTGCATTCTATAATTTATTAATATTTACCTAACGTTCATAAATTTAAATCTGAGAGCACATTTGTGTTTTTTAATCTGAGGAACTGATTATTATGAAACCCTAATGGATATCGCAACTATATTTGAACTTGGGTGCTTTAAATATATATATATTTTAATTTGAGAGGAATGGCTAGATTATGGTGACGGTGGAGGCACCGCAGAGTCTAGACTCCGAAGTTGATTGTGTCCAAGCTTCTAATTTTCTATATTCCAGTCGGATATTTTTCTAAGTATTCAAAACTCGTAGTGTTTATTATTCGAATAGTTGGGGATCTGTCAATTTTCTTCGCTCGTCTGAGTATTGTCAAATTAATATTTTATATAATTTTCTTTTTATAAACTGTTAGACTAATAATATTATCTTCAAATCACTCTCCTTTAAAAATGGATTGTTAAAGGACCAATGGTTGGGTCCACAAAGTCTCTTTGAAATCCACTTTGTCATCTGCACTTAAAACTTTGTCATTGGAATATTGACGCCAAACCAAGAGTGAAATGCGTCAAGTTATATGACGTGCTGTTAAAGCTACGTACTGAATGAGAAAAAAAAATTGTATGACAAATCTCGAGAGGAATTCTTCGAGAAGGAGCTACATGTTTCTGGCGAGAACTTTCGGACTCTTATAGCAAAACCAGATGAATGAATGGATCGAATGAACAAAGATTTGATGCAAATAACTGGAAAGAAATAGCTCAAGATAGGCAGAGATCGAGGAGGCTGGTTAAAGCGGCAAAAAATCTACAAGATAAGTAATGGCAGCAGAAAAAATACGTAAATAATTTAAGATTATAAACTCAATTGCATACATTATTCAACTATTGTAAAAAAAAAAAAATTAGTAACAACTTTTATATTCATGTTTAAATTTATTCTTCTAAAACGAAAATTAAATCTATAAAATATATAGACGTATACCAATAGGTGAAGGTTCTTGGATTCAATTTTGTTTCTTGGCTAT